ATTTTTGCCTTCCTTCCAACGGTTGGGAAGACAACATTTCCTTCCACGCACCGCATCAGACTTCAGTTTCAATGTAGCCAAAATGAGATAGGTAGATATTTCAAGTCAACAGACGCACACAAAAAGCTGTGCTCACTCAAATGAACCATGAGATGTAGGCAATTTGCCTCTAGAAGACTTTCTTCATTCCATTCCGTCTGGCTGTCTATTTGCTGTGACTTGAACGTTCTGGATATCGAAATTCATGAGTTAATATTTCCTGATTTAGACTTACCTCTACGCGGTGCACCCTGGGCAACGTATAGTCATACGGCAAAAAGTCTATTAACTGGCAGTTGACTTCTAATCTTCAAACTACCATCACCTCACTCTATGCTATATTCGACTATTTTCACAGTACTCACCTCACCTTTTTTCTACCTTTGTGTTTGTCTCTTACATCTTTGAAACACTCTTCTGTCCCCTCCTCTCGACTTTTTTCAATTTGATGTTCCTTCCCCTCTGTGAAGCCTGAAGTCAACTAAAGGGCTAATGGTAACCATCAAGACGCCTGCCATTTGATATAAATAAATATTTCCCGATTTTAGATCTGACTGACTTGTTAGGCTAGAAATTGGGCTACTTCATCTGGATTGATAATACCTTAAGTTTAATGAAGACTAAGCTTAAATCGTTTTCCACCGAATATGTTGTAATTTTACCGAAGGTAGAGTCTATTTCTTCACCCTAATTTTAACTCCAAGGTAAAAGAAACAAATTGTTTGGTGTGAGCCTAAATGCAAAGCAGTTTGCTGCAACGTTTTACTAAACGAAGCCAATTGTTCCTTTTAGCATGAAATCAATATTTTAGAAGTACATACTTTATTCCCAATCGAATGAAAAATCAATAAATACTCGCTATAAATCAAACGCTGAAGAGAATTTGGCACAAACAATAACAATTTTATGAGAAAAAGAATTGATAAATCTATCAAAGTTCAGGGAAGACACTTGAAGGATTGTGATACTTTCAAACACCAATTCTGCAGCTTCACTGGTTCTAAAATAAGATTAGAGAATTACATTAACTTCCTCATTAAAAGCAATTTGTAAGTATTCAAGCAATGCGTCTTCAAATAATCATCACACAAAAGAATTGCAAAATGTCTTCACCAAAATGTGGTCAAGCCAATTAATGATACTCTTGTCACTTTGCTGAGTAAGCGTAGATATAAACAAATACGAGAATTAAGGATAATAATAATAATAAAGATAATAAAGAATAATCGCGGGGAAATATATCTGCAAATTTTGGCAGTAATAGGCTAGTGTTTAATAGAAATGGGAAATATATCCGTGCATTCTCCTTCTGGATGAAAATGTATACCATTTATGAAAACTGGACAACAAAGAATATTTAGCGATTGCTCACCTTCTTAGCAGCTTCCTCAGTAGCTTCAGTTGGATTCGGCTGTTTGAAATGATAATAAAAAAAAGTGATTATAGTATTAGCAAAATGGGAACAATGGGTGGAGTTCAAAGATTAAAAAATGTAGATTGTTGATCTCAATAGGTCGGCCTGCCCACCACTTCTTAAATGTGAGAATTACGTTTCGAGGAATGGAGCCTCGCTGAATTATATGGCTACGAAAATAGCCTCGAACCAGGGTTCAATAGACTTGCCTTCTTCTCCAAATCGGGTTCAGGAGTACCACGGAGCCACTTCTCGCGAAGTTCATTCAGATTCTGGAGAGTGCTGTGAAGTCCGTTGATAGTGGCTTGTATCTGATCGATCGCTAATTGCGTCACTGTGTCCGTCTACAAAGCGGAAAAGTTGGCAGGAGAAAAATCATAGAAACCAACACAAAAAAAATTCATTTCGAAACCCCCTCAAATGGGTTTTGCGGGGGAAGCTTATTTTGACGCCGATTGGCATTGAAATATGAAAGACGAATGGCAATTGGAAGAGCGGTGAAGTCGGATTATAATGCATTCGCAGCTGTCACAGTAAACTAAACCAGAAATCACTGCAAAGATCCGTCGAGGAAATAGAAGGTAACACTAGAACCAGTGAAGGTTCATAGGAGGAAGGTGGAGGGGCAGAAGAAATGTTACATGAAATGAATGCCTAAAAATCCCATCAACTGAAGAATGCATTCTTTAAGACATTGTGATTGAAGGTTATCAGCAAATGGCTAACTATTTACTAGGAAAGATAAACATCTAAATGCACACCAGCATGCTACCGAATATTCCAGAAGGATAGTGTGGGTGTGTGATATCTTAACTGCAAATCGTACTATTACCACTAGACTAGGAACGAAAAGTGCGCAACCGCTCACATCACCTTTGGCAAACAGAAAGGGTTCACAACCCCTCCCCCTCCACCCCCCC